GTCCAATTTTAGCTATTAATTGCCACACCACCAAAACTAAAGGCTTCATCAGATATAGTCACAGTTCATACTAGCACATCACAAATCGCTTCAATCACCTCACCTGCGCCTGAGGGAATGCGCTCGCTACAGTATCCGCGTTAGTGGCATTCAAGTTCAAAGCTCGTGCTAGCTGTGTGTCACAACCAATCCGTTTCAATCACTATGACTGCATTAAAGCCTATTAAAAGCTCACCCGCGCCTGGATGACTTGGCTCGCTTAGCATCCTCTTTAAATGGTCGTACACTGAAAAGTACACCTGGCAGAGTGGAAGAGAAAGCGAACAAGAAAGGGGGTGAAGGAGATGGATGAGAGAGGGGAAGAGGAGGATTCATTAGAGAAAGGAACGACACCTCAGCCGCGACTAGCTGCCTTTATATCCGCTTTGAATAGTCGTACACCTCTCTTGAGACCAAGTACACCTGACGGTGAGACAACTCTATCTATCACTGACGAATCACACCTCTTCACATCAAGGTGTTGACTTTTGAGTCGACTCAAAAGTCAACTGACGAATCACACCTCTTCACATCAAGGTTCTCGTTTTTGAGACGTCTCAAAAACAACCTCGCTTCAAGTCACTGACGAATCACACCTCTTCACATCAAGGTTCTCGTAAAAAAACGGACCGATTATTACGGTCCGTTTTTTACGGTATTTTTCTTCAAAGATACAGCCGTTTTTTTGTTAGAGAACTCTTGTCACGAAGAAAAAAAGGCAAAAACAAGGTCGGTTCCATTCTCAATCATGACCACAAACGCATACATGCAAGAAGGGGTTCGTCCTCTTCATCCTGCTGCTTTTCGCCGTCAATTTGGTCCCTTAAAATGGCCGAACTTTTCTTCAAACAAAAATCCCCTCCAGGAACCGTTTTAACCAGTTTTTTACGGTACCGTTTTTTACAGTGAAATTTCAAAAAAACGGTCTTTTTTTTAACCCTGCTTCACATTGGCGGAGTGATAGAGACCAATGTGAAAGCACTCACCGCCCAGTTGGGCAGCAGAGCCACCATGGTCGGGGACGGGGACAGCCCGCGGTACAGCCCCCTCAGGCCCTCCGTGCCTTGCGTGTCTCTCGTGCATGCCAAGAGACACGGAGGGCCTGAGGGGGCCTGAGGCTCTCATTCCATCTGAACCTCATTATGCCATTCCCATTCATTCACTCACCGCCCAGTTGGGCAGCAGAGCCACCATGGTGGGGGAGAGCCCGCGGTACAGCCCTCTCAGGCCCTCCGTGCGCCAGATGGTCTGGAGGGACCCCGCTATCACGCCCATGCGCCACCGCCTCCCCGCCGCTGCTGCTTTTCCCCCCGCGCCTGTTCCCCCCACTGCTGCTCCCCCCGCTCCCCCTGCTCCTAATCCCCCTGATCCTCCCGCCCCTCGCGCTGCTTCTGCTGCCGCGGCGGCTGCGGACGCGGACGGGGGAGTGGCAAGCACAGTCGCTATCCGAGCGAACGGCGGCGGGGAGGCAGATGCTGCTGCTGCTGCTGCCCCTCCTCCTGTTGGCGCTGCTAATGGCCTCGCGCTAGCTGCTGCTGTTCCCCCTGCTGCTGACGTGGAGGCTTGTGGTGCGCCCATCACTTGCAGGCGGGTCTTGACCACGTCTAGCGGCGCTACAAACGTGGCGGCTACAGCTCCTGGACAGGGGGGAGGGGAGGGGAGAGGGGTGCAGAACGGTGGGGGAAAAGCTCTTGACCGCGTCTAGTGCCGCTACAAACGTGGCGGCTACAGCTCCTGGACAGGGGGGAGCGACGAGGGGGGAATGTGAGAGGAGGCATGAAGGGGGACTGTCTTGACCACGTCTACCGGCGCTACAAGCGTGGCGGCTACAGCTCCTGAAGAGGGGCGGAGGGGGAAGTGGGGCGAAGTGGGGGGAAGTGATCACTTCCCCATTCCCGCCATCGTCCAGCCTTCTGGTCAGTTTTTGAGTCGACTAAACAATCTCACCTGCGCCAGCGCCGGCCATGCCGCTGAAGAGCTTCGACCGCTGCTCTTCTGGCAACTGGGCCATCCATTTCCCCACCAGCCTTCTCGCTACCCCCTTCCCGCCATCGTCCTGCCTTCTAGTCGGCCCCTCCCCATCGTCCCGCCTTCTGACTAACCCCTCCCCATCATCCCGCCCTGCAGCGCGTGCCGACGCCAGATCGCCGTCCTTGGATCAGCCCTCTCCAGCCGTCCGATCTTCCAGAACTGCTGAATTTGATCTTCCGAAGCCGTTAAAACCTGTCTTGGTGTGGAGGACTTGAGCACTCCCCCTAGAGGCAGATATCCACTATTGAGCCAAATTGGCGCGGATAAAGGTTGAAGAACGGTCTACAGTGGTCGTAATCCGTTGAGAAGGGCAAACCGATAACGCGGATGCCGCAGCAACGGACCGACTAGAGCAGCCTCATTGGGGTCCTTCTTGCATCGGTTCTGCGGATCGCTTAGGTTTTGACACGTCTCAGGAACCGTTTTGAGAGTATTCGGGGTACTCGCGGTTCGAAGGTCTCACAAATGGATAATGCGTGCTGATGAAGTTTTGCGAGTGGGCGATACTAAGCTTCCGCGAGAGGTTCGGAAGAATCGCTATTCAAGGTAAGCTCTTACTACAATCCCTAGATCGAAGAAATGAGTTCCTACGTAAGCAGGTGGTGGTAAAGTCCCTAAAACTCAGAATCATGACAGCTATCATCCATCGCTGTCTGGAACCTATGTACGAGTCGAACCGGCGTCCTTGATCAGGGAGGCGAGCCTGAGCCCCAGGCTCGTGCTTGTACTTCCGAACTTCAAGGTAAGGGTGGCCTCGGCAGGTACCAAGCCTGAAACTTCACGGCTGTTCCCGCCACTTCATTACCAAATCCAAACCAGTTGTTACGGTTCGGTGTTCGGGCTTGGGAACCGATTTCAGCGTCGAGGTGTTCGACATAACCTGGGAGAGTGACGAATGGGGATCTAGAAAAGAGTGTCTCACGACGGCCAATGATAACACTTCCGCGGCCTCCAAGACGCCGCGTGTTTGGCCTGTTCCCGAGTGTCACTTGATGAGTGGTCAAAGAAAACCCAATCCGCAGTGCGCTGAACAGAGATGTTGTGCCTGCTAAGAGCATTCGCGGAACGCATACAGATGAACTCTGCGTTGAAAGCCCCACCACTGATTTACGCCACTTATAAGTTTCGTCGATTTTCTACCAAATGGCACCAGAACAGGAATACCATCGCCTCAGAATATACTGCATTATGTTCTCTAGTTTTAACATTATGCTGTCTCTCATTGGTGTACTTATTTACACGCTACCGAGAAGCTGTCTAACGGGCTACGGTGATTGGGACCTTCGCAGAAGTCACTCGCCCCACATCGCTCCACCGACTTGCGATCTGATCTGCGATTGGAATATCGAGATGCGACGCTCTCCTCCGCCGTCAGCCACCGATGTCGCGTCGTCCAAAACAACTGTTTTGTCGAACCAGCTCCTCCAGTCGCTTCGGCCCCGATTTATCGGACGTGCTTCGGAGGTGTGGGGTGCACACAGGCCGGCTCGGGGGAAGGCCCCCCTCGCCTAGTGATTTGACCCGCCAAGCCCAGCCTCTCTCCCCAAGCAATTGTGCCGAGCCATTTCTGGTCTTTCGTCAATTCGCCAGATCGCTAGCCTCTATTAGGTGCACTTTTCGTCAAACGCTCATGATTTCTCGCGACTTCGCCCAACAACTCGTGGAATTTCCTCCATTTTCAGCACCCGCGTCGCGGAGACCATTCAACATAAGGGCGTGTAAAACTGTAACAACAAAACCAGATGATCGATCATTTGCGCGTTTCAGGTGAGTGCGAAATGTGTAACGCCTAAGCGAACCCCGCCTCAAATCTCGAGGCAGAAAATACCATGAAAATTCGGTCAGCTCGGTGTGACTATTCGAATCGGCGTAACCCTCCTTCCTCGCAATCGTCAGAAACGCGTAAAAATTCGACCGTTGCCTTTGATCGTTACAACTTTACACGCCCTAATCTGCTCGAACCAGATTCTCAAACCCGGCCGAGCCGAGCCTTCGTTCCCCTTGCTTAGCCTCCCCCTTGCCCGAAACCTCCCGCTGCATCTTTCCCCCCGACCTCACCTCAAAACCACTCGGTTCGGCTCGTCGCTCAAATCGCTCATCATCGAATCTATTGATGTGGCTCGTCGTCGTCGCCACTCTTCTCGCCCTCCAACGCGCCCCCCAACTCCAACGCGCCCCACCCGCGCAAAACGAGCCGACCAACCAAAACCGTCGACTTTCCGTCGGTCGGCCAGCGAAAATCGCGTGAGCTACCTCCCATGACTTTGAGGAGTGAACAGCAGATGAGCTAATGAGCTGGCACTCGTCATTCTTTTCTAAGAACATCACTCTGAGGTGTCCCTTTTGCGTACGAGAATTTGCGAGAAAGATTGCTCGTCGCGCCCCGGCAATTTCTAGCACCTAGCGAGCAACAAGAACCTTCATCCTCCGCGCCACTCTGCAGAAACCTGAGCCTTGTTTAGCGTGCGAGACGAACGTTGCCTTTACCGAATCGTTTTGCGAGGATTAATAGAATAAGCAGAAACGTGCTAGTAGGTTTGCGCTGGGCAACATCTTGAGGCGACTCAGCAAACATTTTGAGTTGACTGGGCAAAGGAGCCATCTTTGAGCCGCCTTTGACTGAGCCATTTTGAGTTGACTGAGGGTACCCTGTCGACATGGGGTACGACGAGGAGCTTGGCGGGGCGGCGGGAACGGCGGAGACGCCAGGGTCGGGGTCGATTTTAATGTCTGACGTGGAATCCCCAACTGCGGCCAAGGCGAAGCTGAAAGAGGTTCGTGCCGTGTCGCGCATTGCCAGTGCCGTAAGGCGCGACAACGCGTGCTGTGCGCGTCGCGGGTTCTCGCCGTTGCTCTTTCCGTGCCGCGCCCTTCGATGGCCTTTCGGTTGTTTTCTTGGTCGGCACATCGCATTTCAGACCCCACACCCGATGAGAGCGCAGCGCGCGTATGCGTTTCTTCTTCTCCCATATTCCGCGCCCTGCCACGTCGCTTTTCCCCGTCCTTCCGCGCCCCCTTTTCCACACCCTCCCGCAGCCCCCTTACCCGCCCTTCCGCGCCCCACCTTTCCGCGCGCGCGTATGTCACTATCACGCCCCCCCTCCCCTCTCCAAATGCCTTCCATATTCCGTTCTTACCTGACTCCCCCTTCCTGCCCACTTCCCCCCCCCTTCCTGCCCCTCCTTGCCCTTCTCGTCTCTCTTCCCCCATTCTGGTCCCCCTTCTCCCGTTCTCATCCCCCTTCCCCCATTCTTTCCCCCACCCCTCTCCTTACCCGTTCTCTTCCCCTCTTCCAGCCGTCAGCGGCGGACCTAATGAAGGCGCAGCGGAAGGCGGAGGTCTGCGCGGGGAAGGGCGCGGGCGCGAGGCGACGAGGCTGCGGGTGGTGCGACGTTGCTGCGTGGACGGGTCTCGTGGTGTCGCTGGCGCTTGTGGGGTTCGGCCTGGCGATTCTCATCCTCGCTCTCACATTCAACACCGAGGTACGCCCGCTTTCCCTCTGTTTGATTGGGCCTATCAGTGACAAGAAATCCGCATAGCTTTGGCCTCGTGGTGTCCCTGGCGCTCGTCGGTTTCGGCCTGGCCATTCTCATCCTCGCCCTCACCTTCAACACCGAGGTAGTAGCCGTCATTTATAGTACAGCTTTATGACCAACCTCACCTGTTCCCCTGCTCTTCCCCCCATCTTTATCACATGCATCTCAGGAACCCCAGATTAAAATCCTCAAAGTGGGCAGCTGCATCTCTTCCCTTCCTCTTTCCCTCCTCTTCCCCTCTCCTCCTCATCATGTGCATCTCAGGACTCAAAGTTTCAAATCCTGTGGGCCAACCTCATCTCTTCCCTTCCTCTTCCCCTCCTCCCCCGCTCTCCTCCTCCCCATTACGTGCAGGACACCGCAGGACCCAAAGTTTGAAAACCTCAAGGTGGATCTGAAGCAGCTGGACCAACCTCACCTCTTCCCCTCCTCTTTTACCCCTCTTCACGCACCTCCTCCTCCCCATTACGTGCATCGCAGGACCCTAAGTTTTGAATCCTCGAGGTGGATTTGAAGCAGCTGGACCAACCTCACCTCTTCCCCTCCTCTATTACCCCTCTTTCCCCCCTCTTCACGCACGTCCTCCTCCCCATCACGTGCGCCGCACACAGGACCCCAAGTTTGAAATCCTCAAGGTGGATCTGAAACAGCTAAACTTTGGAACTTCCGGGAACCTTCTGTTTGACTTCAACAACTTTAAAGTCAAGGCGAACGGCAAGGCGGACGTCAAGGCGCTGGTGGTTAACCCTAACAACCACGAGGTGATCGTGGAGGCGCTGAATGTCAACCTGAAGCTCTTCAACGTTGACATTGCCAACACCTCGGTATGTTTTAAATGCCTTCAAATGTGGTACTTTACTGTGGTACCTCCTTTGGTCTGGTGGCGCTGGTGGATTAAACACGAGGTGGTCTTAGCACTGGGTGTTGTGACAACGGAGAAATATGCTGAAAAAAAAGAAGTTTTGGATCCTGCCATCCCTCTCCTTTGTCAGCCGTTTCTATACCAACCCACCTATCCTTATCTTCCTTATCTTGCCTTTTCCATGTCTTCGTGCTTCGGTTCTCACATGCCTCCCTGTACATTTCCCATACCAGATTCCCGGATTTGAGCTCTCAAAGAAGGGGAATATCACACTGAGCATTCCATTTCCCATCAAGAATCTTCCGCTCATTGCTACCGGAAAGCAGGACAACCTCATTACTACATCACTGCGGAAGGGACAAGTGGATGTCCAGGTTCGATACTGAAGCGTTATCGATGTTATTCTATATTGTTCCGTTTTTTCATTGTGATTGAAGCTTCGTATAGAGCCTAAACCCTGACCTTTCCCCCCCTGGTTTTTTTTTCCCATGCTGGTCTGGTCTTACAGCTCAATATTGACTCTAGAGGCAAGGTGAAGATTTTGGGAATGGCAACACCATCATATAATGTAAGTGGTAGTTATGTTACCGCCTTTGTTCTTGGTCTTGTCGTGAGCAGCTTCTCACATTCTGCCCATCTTTGTTGCAGCTCCTTATTGCGTGCAACATCACAGTCGATCCATTTGGAGGGAACCAGCTGTTTCGACAGAAATGTTTCAAGACCAGATCAAAAGCATAAAAACTGGGCAATGCCAGCTTAATATATTGCTTTCATGTCCTGTGCATATGAGTCATATTTATATTTGGAAATATTACTGGGATCAACTCTACGATCAAACTAAGCACTAACATCCCAGCCAGCACAGGATTCCTCAAACCACGCTAAACCGCACAGCATTCCTCGAACCAAACTGCACACCACACGAGGTTGTGAAATGTCGGTGCCCCACTGTCGGTCGCGTCTCGATTGATGTTTGAGAAAACTGACACTGTTCCGAGTCGCGATGGCTGCCAGAACCTACAGTTCTAGGTTTCGAGTACCGCGCGCTCCGTCTCCAGCTGTGTGGCCCTACTACCCCCGCCAAAATCAAACACGAATGAGGAGGTTCCGTTGGTCTGCTTCTCATGGGCGGTGACATCGCATCCAATCAGAGTTTATGCTTCTGTCGGTCAATCTTTTGATGTCGCATTATCTGCCATCACCAGACTCCTCGGGGCAAGCTGGGCATGCAAAGAAAGTTTATAGAGTCGACGATGTTGGTTGGAGCAAACAAGAGCGTTCGGTTTGCTCCACATTCCGTCTCTGGTTCTGCCAGACCGAGTCCCTCTACCGAGACCTAGACCCTGTGCTCAAACCGTCACAGGGCGAGAACTGCTCCTTCATTCAAACCATGCGAAACCAACCAGCTGTCGCACAGCGCAAGTGCAAGAAAGCCGTTATGAATGTTTCGCCTGGCTTACACCAACAACCAAGCCCATCCGTTGATGTGGACAAAGAGGTTCAGAAAGCTTTGGTGGAATAGAAGTAGTTTTTTTAGCAAAATACAACGGTTGAGTAGTGTTGTGAAGGAATTGTTTTTTTACGGCACCCCTCAAGGTGACGATCGACAAGCATCATTCTTTGCAACAGCTGATACATCAATGGTCGCAGAACCAGTTAGTCGACTAATAGCAAGTCCCCTGGACCTAGCATTGCTCCTTAGCCGAAACGCAAGTGCCTTACCGAAATATTTCGGTGGTTCTAGGCTCCGCTGCGGTGGCAACATAGTTCGAATTCAATAACCTGAAAGCTGCTAATCCTCGCTGAAAGTGTTTTCGTATTCAAGCAGTGCTTATCAGCGTCAAAATTGCTGTGATTGAAGCTCGTGACTAGCATCTGCGTTCGCAGCCATCACTACAGATAGCATTTCGAACCTCACTCATAGCGGCTGAGATTTTGGCATAATATGGGAGTTGGTGATTTCTTCCCAGTCAGAAGCAATTCAGCGCGTGTGGATGAGGAGGAGAGGTACACGGACATAACTAACGACATTGAAGAGCCTTACGTACGTTCTTAGTGTTCTCAATGACTTTCCTTCTCCCGAACTGACATGTATATTCCGCATCGCTCCGCCACACTCCACTCCCGCACACTCCGCTCTGCCACCCTTCTCTCTCCCACATTTCGATCCATCACGCTCGACGTATCGCACTTTTCACTAGATCTCTATTTTGGATTTCTCCACTACCACACTTCGGCGTCAGTTCCACTGAAGGACGCCACGGGACAGGCCTCTTTCTTCACAGAATGCTTCCTTAATAGTCTGCTCCGCGACGTATATGATACGCCGACTTCATTCGGTGCACACTTGTCCACTTTTGAGACGTCTCCAAAACGGTTCCTAGACATTGAACTGTACGCGATTCACGCCCGTGCCTTGTGAATTGACTCGCTAATCCCGATCGACGCCCGTGCTCACTTACAGCCTTGTGTTCATCGCTGAGAGGATCAAAACTAGAATTCCTGTTTTCCTCTCTCATGTACTTAGCTGTTAATTTCCGTCTTTCTTTTACTCTCTCCGCCTTCATTCTCCTCTTTCTTGTGCAAAAGAAAAAATACATGGCGGAAGCAGACGGCTTTGTGTTCTAGTGAAATCTCAACACTCCATTCCAATTTCCGTCTTTCTTTTACTCTTTTCTTGTGCAGAAGAAGCACGGACGCAGATGGCTTTGACGCTTACGAAATGGAGCATGCAAAGCTACAGCATCAGAAGCAGCAGAAGCGCAGTTGTTGCACGTGGCAAAACGTCGCCATAACGTGCGGACTCCTCCTCTCCCTGCTTATGACCGGCGTGGGAATCGCCATACTCGTTGTTGCGTGCACCTATAAGCCCGCGGTGAGTGTGCCAAAGACTTCCGATTACTATCAAATCAAATTTATCACACGAATTGTGCCATTTCTGTATATCTGAATCGACCTTCCGGTTGATAGAACCTATTTTTTTTTCTGTGAAGCACAATTCTGCAGGCAAAAGATAAATCTATCGTTTCGGCTAATTGTTTGATCCAGTTGTAGCCGGTTTCCAAGTTGCACATGGTCTTGGTTGTCTAATCTTGCTTCCCTTCCCGTGGAACTCGTCCATTTGACACTACCACTTTCTGCCTGTCGGAATGTCTTACCCCTGTCCCATTCCCCCCCCTCCCTCTATCCCATCCTCCAGCCTCCCGTGATCAATATTGAGAAGGTTGACCTTGTACGGCTAAATTTCAACGGCACAGGCACCAACAGTGACCTGACCACTAGCCTTGGCGGGCTGGGAGCTACTATCGGGGATGCCCTCGGGAACCCGTTGGGGGGAGCGCTGGGGAATCTCGGGAACGATCTGGGGAGCCTGCTGGCTGATCCGAGCAATTTCACCCTCAATATGAACGCACTCATTAATGTTACAGCGAATGTGTTGAATCCCAACAAGTACGATATTCAAGTGAAGTACCTGGACCTGTTCATCTCACTCTTCAACATCAGCGTCACCAATGTCTCGGTAAGTAGTAGAACTTCCCTTCTTCTTATGGCCCTCAATCAGAATCTCCATTGACACTGCTCACAATTTCTCAATTCAGGTGCATTTACCACTAGTCTCTTTCTGGCAACTGCCTTCTTCTCACCCTCCCTTCCCTTTCTCTCCCTCCATTTCCCATGTGCCTGCTATTCTTGTTCAGTTGGGCGAGTTCAGGTCTCCCAGCAACCAAAACATCAGCCTCACAATCCCCTTGAAAGTGGTCAACGTACCGTTGGTGTCTCTTGGGAAGGATAGCGTCATTGGCAACTCCCTCCTGGCTCAGAAGCTCAAGATGAAGGTTAGTACCGTGTCGGCAGGCCACTCCTTTCTCGTGGTCATTGCCTGCTGAATTCGCTCTCTACAACATGACATCCTGCCATGTGATCGAATGATTTTTGTGAATAACATTTGTTGTGAATAATATTCGTCGCAGATCCTAGGAGTTGCAGAAGGCAAAGCCCAGTGGTGGGCCATCTCCTCACCATCCTACAAGGTACGTAGAGGGGTTCGGCTATATATTGGCCCCTGGCATGAATGGTCCATAAGCTGACACATTTTTTTAGTGTCTTTTTGCATTGTGCATCCAAGTATATACTATTTTATGGCTGGAGAAGTGAATGCTTGCTGAACTTTTTTTCTGAATGCAGGTTGGAGTAGTCTGCAATGCTACGGTGAGTCCTGCTGCAGGCAAGAATTCGGTCACAAGGGACTGTGTTAGCAAGGCCAAAAAAGTTTGAGATCATGGGCACCCTGATATTCCTGCACTCAAAAGGTGCCATACTTTCTGTATGGTCAGTAGCATCATAAGCAATAAGATTCTGTACAGACCAGGTTTAGTTGCTGTCTCTAAAGCGACCGTGTTTTAGCGGGAACACACCTGTCATACCAGCGATGCATACATGCTAGCTGACCAATCATAGACACGAAACACATGTATGAGTCCATGAACAGGAATCACAGGGGCAACCCCCTTCCTTGGCAAGTCGTCCGCCGTCACTTCGTTTCCATCACCGAACCGAACTAGCCCTTTCGTAGGCGAAGGCGTCACTATCCAATCAAATTGTCGGTTCGGTTCGCAGATACGCGCACGCGCCACGGCTCCCTCCACCACATAGGGAAACCACGTTTCACAACTTTCTGTGGATGCGGTGTGGTCAAAAGCGGTCAAGCAGAACAACCGCTGAAAACCCATGTCACGAGGGCGAACGTGTCCAGCTCGCCACCCCAATTTCCCCCGTCCACTCCCCCCACCCTCTCCCCTCTTCGTTCCCCCCTCCCCCTTCTTTTCTGTGGAAAACCTCTCTAGTTACCCCATTACCAACAAAATTCCGCGCATGTGCCCAACCACAACTCGGCAAAGCTTGGTGAGTCGAACCGCCGCACGCAAGGGCCACCGCCGAACCGTAGCGTCCCCAAGCAGGGAGCATGCGTGGTTTGGTTCGATAATCGATAGCCCAGTAGGCGGTGCTTGCGAATCGCATACCTCACAGCTACAGCCTCTAGCTCACCATTCTAAGGCTGAGACGCGGTATAGTACGGCGGACCGTCACTAGCTGCGTCGTGTTCGGTGCAGGGGGCTGCTTTCCGAAGCAGCTGCAAGACTGGCACAAAGATAATACGCTGTAGGACTAAAGGAGATAGTTTTTGCGGTAAGACCAAGGGAGGGTTACTCGAACTGCAGGACACAGTGAAATACTGTTGAGAGAGCTGGCGAACGGCCTACAATACAAGTTACTCGAGTTTGAAAAATCGCGTCTTTGGAGCGAAAAGGACAAACGATAGCACGGGAACAGGCACTTCCATTATGACCCTATTCTTTCCGCAGGCGTTCCATTAGAGACATGCCTAAGTAGCGGCTCGACATCTGTTACTAATCCTCCGCAGCAACCAGCAGTGCTAGTCGTCTCGCGCGGTTACTCATACCCTCGATATTAGCCAAGGCGCGCAACAAGATGATGTTTTCCGCAAAGATGGCCGACGAGTCGCCATTAGCGAAACAGGCGTCGGGCCGCTCGGATTACTCGACGGACGCTGACGCGGACTCAGCGTATGAAGCTGACGTGGAGGCCGCTGCTGACGTGGACTCTATGGTGCATAACCGACGGGCTTCCCACCGCGACTCGGACTCGAACTCCACTGGCCTCTCCGACGATGCGGATTTCGACCTCCCCGACTCGGACCGCGACGCGCTCGCGTCGCCCTCCCCCGCCGCAGAAGCCGCCGCGGCGAAGGCGAAGGCGATGGAGGGGGATTCGGAGCTGGGTGGAGAGGGGGGGAAGGGGAAGGGGGACGGCGCGGGGAAGGGGGAGGGGGGAGGCGCGGGGAAGGGGAAGCGGGGTAGGAGGTGCGGGAGGTGGGAGATCATTTGCTGGGTGGGGATTGGCGCTGGGGTGGTCATGACGGGGATTGGCCTCACAATGCTTGTCTTCTTCCTCTCACTCACTCAACAGGTAATGATGACGCCGCATCCTAAAGTTTGCCTTGCATCTCAATCTCATTCACCTCCTCATGCGTCTTAAGTCTGCCTTGCATCCCTCAAAGCGTTGCACTCAGCACACATGTCGAGTGGGCCTGCCACACTCCGATGCACACACGCGTACATACAAAACAAACACCATGTTTCTACCTCTTTCCCTCTCTCCCCCTCTCCCCTCTTTTCCTTCTCCCCCCGCCACCCTCCCCCCCTGTACAGGAACCAGTTGTGACTGTAGAGGGCGTTGATATAGTCCGCCTGAGCATCTCAATCCCTTCCCAAACCATCAAGATGCTGAACCTAGACCCCAGCATGGTCAGCGTCCCGAACCTCGGAGACTCCGTCCCCAGCCTCGGCAGCGTGCCGAACCTCGACATTCCGAGCCTGGACCTGTCGAACCTGGACCTGAAGAACCCCAACAGCCTCGGGAAGACCCTCCAGGACCGGCTTTCCAATTTCGGAATAGAGGTTTCCGATCTCGGAAAGAACGTTAGTCAAATCGGCAAGAATGTAACACAAGAGGTTTCTAAAGCTGGGAGGAACGTTACTAAGGAGGTCTCTAAAGACCTAACGCGGATCGGGGACGAGATTCAAAGGGCGATTCGGAACAACTTTGAAGGGTTGCGGGTGGATTTGAATGCACATGTCAACGTGACTGCGAGTGTGTACAATCCGAACAGCTTCGATGGGATATTCAATTTCATGAACATGGGGATTTACCTGTTCGGCATCCACGTCTCAAATATCTCGGTACGTGTTTTTTTTTTTGTAATTTATCAATGTAATCATGTTGCATTCGCTTCTTCTGCTGTTACTGCTACTAGAAGGAAACGGCAGTGTAATCACGCGACTGCTACATTCTCGATCATCGCCTCTTGCCAACATGGCGACATGGCCTCTTGCGAACATGGCTGTTCCTCTTTACCACCTCTGCCTCCCCTGCCAGATGCCAGCGTTCGAACTGGGCAAGAAGCAGACAAAGGTTGCCACCGTGCCGATCGTGGTGAAGAGCTTCCCGCTGCTCTCCACGTCCTCGTCAGCGCAAGTCAGGAGCCCCATCGCTACTGCTCTGAGGGAGCGGAAAATCAAGATGCAGGTATGAATCAAGGCAGTATGAATCAAGTCAGGCTTCCTGCTGCTCCGCACGTCCTCCTCAGCACAAGTCAGGAGCCTCATCGCTGCTGCTCTGCGGGAGCGCAAGATTAAGATGCACACCCCACTTGCTCACTGCTCGATCTATGCACACCCCATAGATTGAAGCCCCATGACCATGACTTGTTGTGAGAGCAGATGATCAAAAAGCATGTGTGAGCTCAAAGCATGTGTGAGCTCAAAGCATGTGTGAGCTCAAAGCATGTGTGAGCTCAAAGCATGTGTGAGCTCAAAGCATGTGTGAGCTCAAAGCATGTGTGAGCTCAAAGCATGCGTGAGCTCAAAGCATGTGTGAGGCGGGAATCCCACACATCTTCTCCCTCTCTCCATTCACCCCTTACTCATCTCCTCCCGTTTCTAATCTCCTCCCTCTTTTTTCTGCATCCGACCTTTCATCAACACAAAAGGCGGATAGAGGGTGTGGGGAAGAAGCTCATCTCCTCCATTATCCCCTCACTTAATGGCTCATTATTCCTCTCTCACTCAATCCTGAATCTCCTTCCTAATCCGCTCCCTCGTTTTTCTGCATCAAATCTTTTATCAGCACTCAGGGCAAGTGAGAGTGTGGGGAATCTTCTCATACCCTCCCTCATGCCCTCCTCTAAACCATATTCGATATCCCTTCCTGATCCCCTCTCTGATTTCTCCCTCGTTTTTCTGCGTCAGACCTTTATCAACACACAGGGCAAAGTGAGGGTGTGGGGAGTTTCCTCTCCCACTTACAATGTGAGTATAGCGAGATACACAGTAAGTGCAGTGATTGATAGGGTGGGTGCATTAAAATTGTGAGCGTCGCAAGAGAGTGTACAAAAGCCGTACAACCTCGTTCTGACTGCAGCAAAGTCGTTTGGAAGAATTGCATGCGCTTTATCTGTCAATCTACATCTTTCCCACGATTTCCCCTCTATTGAATGCCTTGTTACAGGTCACTGTGATGTGTGTGATGACGGTGGACCCCAGTGCGGACGTTATGACCAAGAAGGAATGTGGAGCCAAGCCTACAAAAGTTTAGTTTATTTACAGTGTAATCAACAATGGCCCATATGATATGTCGTGTTTTGTTTTGTGTGCGCTGATAGAGAAAGAAGGGGTGTCATCCTGTTGGCCTGTGCTGGTACTGTGGCTGAGATTGCACCAGTTTTTTTTTTTTTTCATAGCCTTTAATGGCGGTCTGTTAGAGTTGACATACTAGTACATATTGGAGGATGGAAAGAGTGTTTCCACTCAACGATATCAGGCCTCCATGCTGTGTTCGTTATGAGAACTTCTCGTTTGAGCTTGGAAAACCGTTCAGTCGTCATAGGGTTGCAGAAACCGAAAACTTGTTTAGACCAGGGTTCGCCATCGCATAAGTCGTCGCAATAGTCGTCGAAACTCGTCGCATTCGGCCAGACCGCGGTCGCAGAATTTCAAGCCGTCACCTGATGGGGTGGGACCAGCCATGTTGTCCCAACAACCCAACCAGCCAATCGCATACGAGCGTTGGCTCGCGGCACGAGTCGTCGCTGCTCATTGGCAGCCAGTGGCCGCGATGGGCCGAACCATCTGTCATCTAGGCTGGGAAAATGTTTGGTTAAACACCGTTAAAAACTCATAGTTGAGCGAAAAATAATCCACAGTTACGCGAAACACTCCCCCAAAGCCTCTTAGCAAACACTTCAGTAGCTTCAACCACTTCTACCGTAGGTGGCTTCACAAAGTGTAGTATTTGTTCTTCTGGAAATGCAAACTTTTAGAGCCATGTAGGATTCCCGTGTGAGCGACAAAATGTCCACTCCACCCACCTCACCACCACACGTTCGTGTGCTACAGCACAAAGGTCTCCGAGGCACCGACATAAACGACACGTGATTGTCCTTCCAGGGTGAAATAGAGAAGTATGACAGACTACTGTAGTTAGTCCCTATCACCACGTTTTAGTACGGTCGCTCCGCGCCCGACAAGGTAGCTGGTTCAGTACGTCACTTCCTCGGGCTACAAGCGCATTCGCCGGCGTTGTGTTGCTCCTTGCTTCAGCTGCTGCTGGCGGGCTTTAATAGCGAATGTCATTCGTCGCGTTCCTCAACCTAGTGTAGAAGGAAAGGCTCTGAAATATTTCTACTTATGTAGGCGAATCCTACGTTCGTGCTAAATGTAAATGTCAGACATTCCTTCGGTGCGTCCTGCTTGCACAGAATAGTGGGCGTAGTCTACTGACACGTGGCGCTGATGGCGCCGTACCCTGAGCGACCATCTACGTGGGAGGACGTGGAAGCGGGACAGGGGAACCTCGTTACTGCCACGGTGGAGGGAGAACGAGCTGACGTGGCAGGCGACGCAGATGACGTGGTCAACCAGAAGGCACTCGTACGTGTTTCCACAATAGCCGACAAAGCCTCCCGCCCCCTTTTACCGCTCATCCCCCACGTCCTCCCCGTTCCCCCTCCTCATCCCCCACACCTTCTTTCTCCGCGGTTCGGCATCCCTAGACCGTAACCGTTGGAATGTCCTCCGCGGCGCTATTTTCGCAGCGCATTCCGCTAGAACACCGTACGATGCGGTGCAATCATTCCAAACCATCGTAGCCGTTAGTTTCGCACTAAATCGACAGGCAGGCGCCCTAACGACAACGCGGCGCGGTCGTCGTGATTTGGAATGCCGCGCCTGGTTACCACCGTCGCCTGCTCGCGGAATTTCAGACGTCGCAGGACGAGACACTCGAACGCAAGGAAGACGAGGGGATTCCGGATATGCCGCGACATCCGAATCTCTAGTTGGGCATTACTGTCTTCCATAAGCCTCAAAAGTGACTTTTGAGTGACTCAAAAGTCACCGCGCGATTCCGGCTATGCTGCGACATCCGAATCTCTAGTTGGGCATTACTGTCTTCCACACGCCTCAAAATCTCCAATTTTGGGAGGCGGAAGCTTTTCCGCTCCTCCCTCCCCCGCCTTCCGCTCTCCCCCCTCTTCCGCTCTCAACGCTCTTCCGCTCCCCCCGCTCTTCCGCTCCCCACTGCGGTATTCGACCAAATCTAAAAACGTCTCAAGAAGATGTCCCTTCCTCCCCTCCTCCCCCGCTTTCCCTTCTCCCAGTCAGCGGAGCAGGCCATTTCCCTGCGCCTATCCTAAATCGACGAAGAAGAGCGGCGGTAAGTGCGGGGGAGGCGCGGGTTGCTAGCAGGAGAAAGTGCGCTCATCCCCCTCGCTCTCCCCCCCTCCTGCCTCCTCTTTATACCCCCCCAACCCCCGCAGTCAGCCAAGCAGGCCATTTTCCTACGCCTATCGGAAGTCGAAGAGGATGAGAGGCGGAAGGTGCGCGGAAGAGGCGCGCGCTGCTAGCAGAGGGGGCGGCGCTCATCCTCCTCACTCTCCCCCCTTCCTGCCCCCTCTTTACCCCCTTCCCCCCTCCCACTTCTCTCCCGACAGTCAGCCGAACAGGCAATCTTCCTCCGCCTATCCGAGATTGAAGAGGGGGAGAGGCGGAAGGAGCGGAAGAGGCGCGCGTTGCTAGCGGGGGGGGCGGCGCTGATCCTTCTCGCTCCCCTCCCCTCCTGCCCTCTCTTTATATCCCCCCCCTCTCCCTCCTCTCCCCTCCCCATTCCCCCCCAATCCCCGCAGTCAGCCGAGCAAGCAATCTTCCTCCGCCTATCCGAGATTGAAGAGGGGGAGAGGCGGAAGGTTCGGAAGAGGCGCGCGTTGCTAGCAGGGGGGGCGGCGCTCATCCTCTTAGCTCTCCTCATTGCAGCAGCGGTCGCCATCGGCGTGACAGCTAGCAAGAAAAAGTGCCAGGAATCCGCGGACCAATCCAGCAACGCCACGTCAGCAGACGCGATGCTGACTCAGCAGCAGCAGGAGCAGCAGGAGGGGGAGTTGGTAGGGACGGTGCAGATCGGGGGAAGGTGGGGGAATGTGAGCACTGTTGTTGCAAAGCTTGACATTCAACCCAACACCAACGGCGTGATCTCAGCAAACGGAGGAGGCGCCACCTCATCATGGGATGCTGCCACGTGGCAGCCGTCCGGCGGTGCTGTGGAGGACACGTCAGCAGTGCAGCAGCTGGCGAATCCGGAGCTGACACCTGTCGATGGACGAGTGTTTGGCATGGGAGTGGATAGCGGGACCACTGATCCGTATGACTACATTGCAGACTCACCACCACCGCCATCACCACCAGCAGCGTCACCCCCCCCACCACCAGAAGCACCAGCATCGCCACCACCGTCACCACCAGCAGCACCCCAGACGCCACCAGAAGCCCCAGCCGCAAATTCGAGCTCCACGGGACCTACGGATATCCTAAGCCGGATTGCAGCGCTTATCAAGGTAGGCAAAGTCGGGTATCTAGGTAATTCTTCTGTGCTTTTAACGTCAGGACGGGAGCAGAAGTGCATCCCTGCCTGACAAAGGTAGGTTCAAGTCCCACGCTGAAGCAGGATCGCGGAATCTCGTCGCTATCAAGCCTGGACTCCTGGAGCTTCTGCCTCGAGCCGTTCAAGGAGATTCAAATTCCTTGTTCTCCTAATCTCGACTCCTCTTACGTGCCTATTCTTCTTTCCGAACCTCTCTTTCTCACCAGCCTCCAGACCTGTCAGTGTAAGGCGTCGACTTCCAAAACGGCCACCTGTTGGTCTCAGGCCCGGATTCTTGGAGTTTCAGCCACGAGCCATTCAAGATATATCAGCCTCGATCTTCCTTTCTCTCAAATTTGTCTTCTGAACCAACCCGTCCCCACACCATACCACCCTCCGGACCTCTCGGTGCAAGGCGTCGACTTCCAAAACGGCCACCTCTCCGTTTCAGGCCCGGATTCCTGGAGCTTCAGCCTCGAACCATTCAAGGAGGTCGGCCTCGATTTTACTTTTTCTCAAACCTGTCTCCCGGACCAACCTGCCCTGCCCCAAACCCAACCAGCCTCCGGACCTGTCAGTGCAAGGAGTCGACTTCCAAAACGGCCACCTGTCGGTTTCAGGCCCGGATTCCTGGAGCTTCAGCCTGGAGCCGTTCAAGGAGGTCAGCCTGGATCTGACCGCGCTGATCAACGTCGCGGCGGTGGTGTCGAATCCGAACCCCATCGAAATCATCGCGCAGGAGGTCAACATGGACGTCAGCTTCTACAGCGTCGACGTTGGCTACGCTAACGTGAGATTCGCGTTTCCCGTGTAAATATTTGAAAAATTCGAGAATCTTCCTTTCTGGTGCGGTTCAGTAGGCGTCCACGCGGTAAGCAGCGGTTTTGGCCTGTTACCCCTCTGGACCGCACTGCACCAAACAGAAGTATCCGTGAGTTGAAAACGCACGCGCGGAAATCCAACCAACCCGCCCCCCTTCTGAGCCTCGATCTGACCGCGCTGATCAGCGTCGCGGCGGTGGTGTCGAATCCGAACCCCATTAGAGATAATCGCGGAGTAAGACCAATAAGGGCGCTAACGTACTGTAATATTTTCAAAATTCGCAACTAATTTACAATGTTACGTGTACTGGTATTAGAGTTTTCCAATTCCTAGACTTTTCCTCCACAAGTGCCAACCCCACACGCCCTTGCCCCTTGTCATGTGTATGTGTATGCAGATCCCGGACTTCACTCTCCCTGCCAACAGCAGCGCCACCATCACAGTCCCGTTCAACATCGACAACTTCCCACTGCTCTCCTTTTCCGACCAGAGCCTTATCACGGGCTCAATCGCAAATGGCGAGCTCGAGTTTCAGGTGGGTGAATGGGCTGGGTAACTGCTGAAAGATACACCCGGGAAGTAGGGCACTTCCCGCTGCTCTCCTTCTCCGACCAGAGCCTTATCACGGGTTTGATCGCGAATGGCGAGCTTGAGTTTTAGGTGTGGGTGGATGGGCTGGGTAACTGCTGCAAGATACACTCGGGAAGTAGGGCACTTCTCACTGCTCTCCTCTGGCCAGAGCCTTATCACGAGCTCAATTGCGAAGTGGGAGCTTGAGTTTCAGGTGGTTGAATGGGCTGGGTAACTGCTGCAACAACTTACACCTGGGCACCAGAGCACTTCAAGTTTCTGCTCTTCTCTGATCAGAGACTTATCACAATTATTATCACAAATGGATAGCTTGTTTTTCAGGTGGGTGGCTGAAAAAACACTGCACCATTTCATGGGTACATTCCTTGTTATTGTTTGGCTCCTAGATGCATTTACATCCATCCAATTCCTTTATGACGCATGTCCAGTGTGTAATGTCCATCCTCCACGCTACAGCCAAACGAGTTGTAATTTTATTGTCTGACTTGGTAATGTTTCTACAGGTTGTGATTAATTTGAAGGCCAGGACTCGGATTCTTCAGAGCGTCACACCAGCTTTCAATGTAAGCACACAAAACCATGCAAGCAGCACATGAACACACCACCTTGCACGCACCACTATGCAGACACACACACCACCACCACACACACACCCGCATGCACAAACACACCACCAAGCATGCACAAACCCCCATGCACACACCACCACACACACACCCGCATGCACAAATACACCACCAAGCATGCACAAACCCCCATGCACGCACCACCATGCACAAACCCCCATGCACAAACCCCCATGCACAAACCCCCATGCACAAACCCCCATGCACAAACCCCCATGCACAAACCCCCATGCACAAACCCCCATGCACAAACCCCCATGCACAAACCCCCATGCACAAACCCCCATGCACAAACCCCCATGCACAAACCCCCATGCGCACACCCCCATGCGCACACCCCCATGCGCACACCCCCATGCGCACACCCCCATGCACAAACCCCCATGCACACACCCCCATGAGCACACCCCCATGCACAAACCCCCATGCACAAACCCCCATGCACACACCCCCATGCGCACACCCCCATGCGCACACCCCCATGCGCACACCCCCATGCACAAACCCCCATGCACACACCCCCATGAGCACACCCCCATGCACAAACCCCCATGCACACACCCCCATGCGCACACCCCCATGCGCACACCCCCATGCGCACACCCCCATGCGCACACCCCCATGCACAAACCCCCATGCACACACCCCCATGAGCACACCCCCATGCACAAACCCCCATGCACACACCCCCATGCGCACACCCCCATGCACAAACCCCCATGCACAAACCCCCATGCACACACCCCCATGAGCACACCCCCATGCACAAACCCCCATGCACAAACCCCCATGCACAAACCCCCATGCACAAACCCCCATGCACAAACCCCCATGCACAAACCCCCATGCACAAACCCCCATGCACACACCCCCATGCGCACACCCCCATGCGCACACCCCCATGCGCACACCCCCATGCACAAACCCCCATGCACACACCCCCATGAGCACACCCCCATGCACAAACCCCCATGCACAAACCCCCATGCACACACCCCCATGCGCACACCCCCATGCGCACACCCCCATGCGCACACCCCCATGCACAAACCCCCATGCACACACCCCCATGAGCACACCCCCATGCACAAACCCCCATGCACACACCCCCATGCGCACACCCCCATGCGCACACCCCCATGCGCACACCCCCATGCGCACACCCCCATGCACAAACCCCCATGCACACACCCCCATGAGCACACCCCCATGCACAAACCCCCATGCACACACCCCCATGCGCACACCCCCATGCACAAACCCCCATGCACAAACCCCCATGCACACACCCCCATGAGCACACCCCCATGCACAAACCCCCATGCACAAACCCCCATGCACAAACCCCCATGCACAAACCCCCATGCACACACCCCCATGCGCACACCCCCATGCGCACACCCCCATGCGCACACCCCCATGCACAAACCCCCATGCACACACCCCCATGAGCACACCCCCATGCACAAACCCCCATGCACAAACCCCCATGCACACACCCCCATGCGCACACCCCCATGCGCACACCCCCATGCGCACACCCCCATGCACAAACCCCCATGCACACACCCCCATGAGCACACCCCCATGCACAAACCCCCATGCACACACCCCCATGCGCACACCCCCATGCGCACACCCCCATGCGCACACCCCCATGCACAAACCCCCATGCACACACCCCCATGAGCACACCCCCATGCACAAACCCCCATGCACAAACCCCCATGCACAAACCCCCATGCACAAACCCCCATGCACAAACCCCCATGCACAAACCCCCATGCACAAACCCCCATGCGCACACCCCCATGCGCACACCCCCATGCGCACACCCCCATGCGCACACCCCCATGCACAAACCCCCATGCACACACCCCCATGAGCACACCCCCATGCACAAACCCCCATGCACAAACCCCCATGCACACACCCCCATGCGCACACCCCCATGCGCACACCCCCATGCGCACACCCCCATGCACAAACCCCCATGCACACACCCCCATGAGCACACCCCCATGCACAAACCCCCATGCACACACCCCCATGCGCACACCCCCATGCGCACACCCCCATGCGCACACCCCCATGCGCACACCCCCATGCACAAACCCCCATGCACACACCCCCATGAGCACACCCCCATGCACAAACCCCCATGCACACACCCCCATGCGCACACCCCCATGCACAAACCCCCATGCACAAACCCCCATGCACACACCCCCATGAGCACACCCCCATGCACAAACCCCCATGCACAAACCCCCATGCACAAACCCCCATGCACAAACCCCCATGCACAAACCCCCATGCACAAACCCCCATGCACAAACCCCCATGCACACACCCCCATGCGCACACCCCCATGCGCACACCCCCATGCGCACACCCCCATGCACAAACCCCCATGCACACACCCCCATGAGCACACCCCCATGCACAAACCCCCATGCACACACCCCCATGAGCACACCCCCATGCACACACCCCCATGAGCACACCCCCATGCACAAACCCCCATGCACAAACCCCCATGCACACACCCCCATGCGCACACCCCCATGCGCACACCCCCATGCGCACACCCCCATGCACAAACCCCCATGCACACACCCCCATGAGCACACCCCCATGCACAAACCCCCATGCACACACCCCCATGCGCACACCCCCATGCGCACACCCCCATGCGCACACCCCCATGCGCACACCCCCATGCACAAACCCCCATGCACACACCCCCATGAGCACACCCCCATGCACAAACCCCCATGCACACACCCCCATGCGCACACCCCCATGCACAAACCCCCATGCACAAACCCCCATGCACACACCCCCATGAGCACACCCCCATGCACAAACCCCCATGCACAAACCCCCATGCACAAACCCCCATGCACAAACCCCCATGCACAAACCCCCATGCACAAACCCCCATGCACAAACCCCCATGCACACACCCCCATGCGCACACCCCCATGCGCACACCCCCATGCGCACACCCCCATGCACAAACCCCCATGCACACACCCCCATGAGCACACCCCCATGCACAAACCCCCATGCACAAACCCCCATGCACACACCCCCATGCGCACACCCCCATGCGCACACCCCCATGCGCACACCCCCATGCACAAACCCCCATGCACACACCCCCATGAGCACACCCCCATGCACAAACCCCCATGCACACACCCCCATGCGCACACCCCCATGCGCACACCCCCATGCGCACACCCCCATGCGCACACCCCCATGCACAAACCCCCATGCACACACCCCCATGCGCACACCCCCATGCACAAACCCCCATGCACAAACCCCCATGCACACACCCCCATGAGCACACCCCCATGCACAAACCCCCATGCACAAACCCCCATGCACAAACCCCCATGCACAAACCCCCATGCACACACCCCCATGCACACACCCCCATGAGCACACCCCCATGCACAAACCCCCATGCACAAACCCCCATGCACAAACCCCCATGCACAAACCCCCATGCACAAACCCCCATGCACAAACCCCCATGCACAAACCCCCATGCACACACCCCCATGCGCACACCCCCATGCGCACACCCCCATGCGCACACCCCCATGCACAAACCCCCATGCACACACCCCCATGAGCACACCCCCATGCACAAACCCCCATGCACAAACCCCCATGCACACACCCCCATGCGCACACCCCCATGCACACACCCCCATGCGCACACCCCCATGCACAAACCCCCATGCACACACCCCCATGAGCACACCCCCATGCACAAACCCCCATGCACACACCCCCATGCGCACACCCCCATGCGCACACCCCCATGCGCACACCCCCATGCGCACACCCCCATGCACAAACCCCCATGCACACACCCCCATGCGCACACCCCCATGCACAAACCCCCATGCACAAACCCCCATGCACACACCCCCATGAGCACACCCCCATGCACAAACCCCCATGCACAAACCCCCATGCACAAACCCCCATGCACACACCCCCATGCGCACACCCCCATGCACAAACCCCCATGCACAAACCCCCATGCACACACCCCCATGAGCACACCCCCATGCACAAACCCCCATGCACAAACCCCCATGCACAAACCCCCATGCACAAACCCCCATGCACACACCCCCATGCACAAACCCCCATGCACAAACCCCCATGCACACACCCCCATGCGCACACCCCCATGCGCACACCCCCATGCGCACACCCCCATGCACAAACCCCCATGCACACACCCCCATGCGCACACCCCCATGCACAAACCCCCATGCACACACCCCCATGAGCACACCCCCATGCACAA